CAAGGCCGGACGCTGCCACCTGGCCCGCGCCCTGGCAGGGGGTCGGCGGGGGGCGGTGGGGTCAGAATCTCCCTGGAGTTCCCTGCGGTTGTCCTGCGGGAGTGCCGCATCTTCTCCACCGCCCCTGCCCCAGTGACAGGCCCCAGACCCCCATGCAGACCGCTGAAGCTGCTACAGCACCTCCTTCAAAGAGGCCCTGGACCCCCCACATCCAGGCAGCGGGGCTGGCTTGGTCTGTCTGCGGTCTGCCTGGCTCCTCCGCCCACTCCAGACTCAGGCTGACACAGATGTGTGCGACACCCACGTATCCCAGATGAGGCCGCCCCCCACCCTCCTCAACCCCTTCCTGCAGGCCCACAGCAGCATGGCCCAGGAGGTTGGTCCTCTGCACCCAGAACTGGCTGAGGCTCCCCCAGGGCCCGAGGAGGTGAAGAGTGTCCTCTGGGGGCCATCAGCACCCTCCTGGCTGCTGCCCTCCCCTCCCCTCCCCTCCCCCTCTCTGCTGGCCTTGGGTGGGCCCCCTAACCCGCTTCCTGCTCTCTCAGTACCCCCTCACCTACTGCCCCCCAGCCGCCCTAGTCCCCAAGGATCAGGACAGGACGGGTAGGAGGGCCCCGGGCACCAGCTCAGGAAGAACCACCTGGCCAGTGGTCCCCCAGAGCCCTACCTGGCAACCCTGGCCCCGGGGACCTCAGCGCCCCAGAGCTGGGCCGCAGCTCCTGTTTATCAAGAGCTCACACTCTAGCAGCCAGGCTGGCCTGTTTTCAGCCGAGCGCACCTGTGGGTACAGCTGCACCTTGTCTGCCCCAGGTGTGAGTCACCCTCTCCCAGCGCACTGTGAAGAGTGTCCTCTCCACCCCTCCTCGCGCTGAGCCCCACCTCTCCTTTTCCCTGTACTCAGGGGCCAGCCTCCCCCTGCGGGATGCTTCCCTGGCCCTGCCTCGTGCAGCCTGTCAGGGGTGTGCAAACCACTCTGTCACTGACTAATCCCGGGCCTCCTGGGATGGCCACCTGGGCCGTTGCACCTGTTCAACCTCCCCACCTAGACTGGACGTTCCTTGAGGGAGTGGCCAACCGCAGGTAGGGCACATAGCCTTGGGGGCCCGAAGACCTAGCCGAATGCCGTGCCTGCCTCTACGGCAAGTTCCTCAGCCCCTCCAGGCCTTGGTTTCCCCAGGTGTCTGTGAGGGCACTGTACAGCTCACCTGCAGGGAGGATTGTCATGAGGTGTGACAGAGTCCCCCACAAAGAGGTGAGGAGGAAAGAAGTTCACTCATTCGATTCGGCTCAGCCTCTGTCACTCGAACAAGAGCCATCTGGGTCAGGCAGTGCACGGTGCTACTGCGCTGGCCCCAGCTGGGAATGGTCCCGAGTCCCTGTCTCGTACCTCCGTGGGCACGCTGAGCACATGTGTGCCCATGACCCGCGCTGGCTGACCAGGGTTGGAGCGCGACGTGAAGCCCCTGCCGAGGGGACCTGTCTCTCTGCCTCTCTCTTTCACGAAAGAAACTTGAAAAAAACAGACTTCGTTCAACGAATATGAAGAAATATTTATTGAGTGCCCGTGTGTGTGTGCCAGGCACTGGACTGGGTTCTGGGAACGGTACAGGGAATGGAAAACACCCAGGACTGGCAGATGGCGTAACACTTACGTCGCTGGACTCCCACCGAGTCGACTATGGATGGAGTCCCAGACCTAGTGGCTTCAAACTCACACTGGGTGTGTGTGCACGTGTGCCCAAAATCCTGGACGATCATGGAAGAGAACACTGTCCTGCACTAAGGGACCCGCGGCCCTGGGGAAGCAAAGCACCAGGCCAGCCTCTCCGGCCCTCCCTCGCAGCCCCATGCCGGTCAGGGCACAGAAGTGGTCCTCTTACAGCGAGCTGGTGGCATGCAGCGGGAGGAGGGTTTGCTTGCATGAGAGGTTCCAGGGCCCATCAAGGAGAGGGTGTGGGCCTGGTTTCTGCTCTAGGGAGGGGAAGTCTCAACCCTGACAGCTTTTACGGGGGCATTAGGGAACTGCAAGGAGCTGGGCTGGGGCTCACATACAGGCCTCCGATCCCGGGGCGGCCGCACACGCCAACTCAGAACCAACCCGGGGAGGACGGCAGGTGGAATGGGTGCGGGAGGGCACGTAGGTCTCGTTCTTCCTGCTGCTCTTCAGCCATGGCAGGTGCCCAGGCCACTCCCAGGCCCAAGAGGCCAGCCCGGGCCAGGTCACTGCTCTGCGTCCTCACAGAACGAGGCACCACCACCCTTCACAGCAGCCACCACCTCGTTCCACCTATACAGGGTGGAGGCACCTGAGGTGACAGGCCTGAACACAGGATTGCCAGGAAGGACAGAACAGCAGCCCCACCCTGGTCCACCCAGGAAGTCCCTGACCTCTTGCCCAACCTCCCCACTCCTGGGTCTCTGACGAAGATTGCTGGGAATGCAGCAGAATTCACGCCGTCAGGTGTGCCAACTTCAGCATGTATTTTTAAAAAGGTTTTAAAGGTGTTCTTTCTTTCTTTTTCAATTCATGATAGAGACCATTTGCAGGTGCACTGGCGAGACAGAGAGAGAGAGAGAAGCACTCTTGCCAGGAGACAACTGTGCCGGGACCCCTTTCTCGGGCCCGCTGGCCTATCAGGACCTTGGGCACACATGCACAGCGTTGGGTGTTTTCAGGCCAGCCTGGAATCAGAACCGCAGTCAGCCACGTGGCTTCCGGGCAGTGCCCACGCTGGCTCGGTTCTGTGGCCACCATGGAAAGGTGGGACGGCTGAGCAGCCAAGTCCTGGCAGCCCACTGCTGCACCGACGGGCACACAGGGCCATAATGCCCTGGGCAAGCAGACTTGCTGTGGCCTGCTGTGGCCCACCCTCCCTCCCAGCTGCCCCAACCGACTGCTCAAAAATGAGCCCAAAGAGAAGAAAGTAAACAAACACGGGAGAGCTTTGCTGTGGAAACGGAGCCCACAGAAGGAAGACCACAGCAGCCTGACAGTCAGAAATAGTACCCGGTCCAGCAACCTTCTGGTCCAGGTCACGCTCCGCTCCAGCTTCGCCGTCCGGCCTGCTCTGGTCCCCGCCGGACATTCCCGCAGCACTGCAGGCCAGGCACCGCCCAACTCCCCTGGGCACCAAGGGCCAAGGTCTTAGACCACAGAGCTCGCCAGCCCCCTGCACGCCCCAGGCCCACACACCCAGCTCGCCAGAGCGCGGCCCACTGCACAAGCTCCAGTCCTGAGCGGAGGCCGCTCCCACCGAGGAAAGGACTCGCAGACAAGGCCCCTGGCACCAGATTTATTATACATTCCCTCCCAGGGGAGTGTGGACTAGCTAGCGGGGCCGGGAGGCAGGAGGGTAGCCACTGTCAGACACTAGACCAGGCTGAGGGAGGCTGGAGACCGCGGAACGGCAGCTGGACGGTGTGTGCAGAGCTCAGGCCTGGGGGGCCAGGGAAGGGAGCCCTTGAGGCAAGACCCCTGCTAGGCTCGAAGGCTAAGAAGGCACCGTGTCTGCCCCCTTGTCACTCCTAGGCCCACATGGGAGCAAGAAAGCAGAGGTCAGGGCGAGCTGCAATGAGCAGGGAGGAAGCCCTCCAGGTGGAGGTGACTTTGGTCTTTGTTCAGTTAGGAAAGCTGGTCCTTGTTAGAGGAGCCCCATGGGGGGGGGGTGGAGCTAAATGCGAGGTAGGGAGGCGGGGGAGTTTGGGGGGGCTGGGGCTCTGGTCTCAATAAGGCCCGCTGCAGTCTCCACTTCAAAGCAGACCTCTGTATTTGGGGGAGGGGGTGGGAGGCAATGAAAGGGCTGTTCCAGAAACGCCCGGGAGCTGTGGTGGGAATCAGTCCAGGGGGCTCCGAGGGGCTCCCGGGGGAAAGCCTGCTGGGGTCGCAGGAGATGCCGGGAGCTCAGGTCCTGGGGGAGGAGGATGTGCGTGGGGAGGTCCTCTCCCCCTCCTGTAAGTGCTGCTCTCCACCCCATCCTGGCAGGCTCTGAGTTCATGGAGACCACTCACACCGGGGCCACGTAATTTCCAGGGAATGTCCCAAATTTCTGGGTCCTCCGGGAGACACCTGAAAAAGGCAGGAAGAACTGTTCCCCACGCTGCAGGGGAACACAGGAGTGTGGGCACGGCCTCCCCTGCTGGCAGCGCCCAGAGCTGCTCACTTTCGCCCCCTAGTGGCATAGGCTAGGGTGGACAGTGCTGCGTCTAACTTCCATGATCAGGGTCAGGCAGTCACTGCACCCCGCTCCAGAACACGAGAAGGAGGACACAAGGAACTTCACTGGTCTAGGATGGGCCCCTGTTTGGAAATGGGTCGATTCGACCTAAGAGAAGGCTGAGGAATGCCCCAGGGCACTTGGCTGCCTGGGGCCAGGCTCGGACTAGGTCTGGCCCAGGTGAGCCGCAGCCCGAGGAACCCAAGTCGGGTGGAGGAGGGGACTGTCAGAGCACAGGAGTGTGCAAGGAAAGCGAGACCTGAGACCTGGCCGTGGGTGGGGAAAGAACGCTCCAGGCCGTGCCATGCCCCCGCCCAGGCTGGCACCATCTTCCTCAGGAGCAGCCACTCACTGCCCCAGCCCTCGCTCACGCTCTCCTCCCAGAGGCCTTCCCTGCCCTTCCAGGCCTACTCCCCACTTCCTCCAGGAAGCCTTCCTGGCCTGCGCTGTCCAAAATGATAACCAGTTGGGGGTTCCTGGGATGTGCCAGGCGATGGAAGAACCGGTTCTGATTCTGAGTCCATTGAGCTGGACAGCCCCGCAGGGCTGGGGGCTGGGGTGCAGGTGAGCGCACTCACGGCAGGGACCACAGTGCTTTTCCTTCTTCACTCATTTTCTAACACTTATTCACTTATTTATTTGTTGTGATTTTCAAGCCACCGGGTCCAGGACTCAAACGGTGGTCAGCCATGTCCTTCGCTATTTTCAAAATATTTTCTTTACTCATGAGAGTGTGTGTGTCTGCGTGTGTGTGAGAGATGAGCACCTCCACAGTCTGGTCTCCCAGGATTCCCTTCCTCCAAACCCCCAGTCGTTGAGATCGAGCACTGGCTCGTGCGCGGCACGTGCGCTTCAGACTGGGCGGGGATCTGAACCACATTACTATGTGCCCCTGTTTCCCTTGCGCAGTGCACAACACTGCTCACGGAGCCAGCCCCGATCCTCTTGCTTTATGGATCTGCAACCCTTTAGTAGTACTTGTAAGCACAAAGGCAAGGGTGTGAGGGGCACAGCCCACCCCCAGAGGCAGGTGTGTTTGGTCACTTGGTCACCTCCAGTTTGTTAGAAACTGCCGGGTCAAGGGACTGCCCCTGGCCACCCCTACTGGGCAGGGAGGGGGGCTCCCAGCCATGCACTTCTCTCCAGAACAGCCCACCCTCTGAAGCCGAGGACGGGATCTGGCCACCCTGGAAACAGGCCGTGTGGACTGGTGGGCAGCTGCCCTGGACCAAGCCAAGGCCCCTGCAGCTTCCTGTGCTGGTGTGCCCTGGAGCTGCCCCAGCCAGCCTATGGGCCAGAGCTTCCCTCCACTTCCTGCTCTCTGCACACACACACGCAGAGGGGAGAGCTGGCCCCTTCCCCGGGAGCTGCCCCAGCCAACCTATGAGCCAGAGCTTCCCTCCACTTCCTGCTCTCTGCACACACACACGCAGAGGTGAGAGCTGCCCCCTTCCCCTGGAGCTGCCCCAGCCAGCCTATGGGCCAGAGCTTCCCTCCACTCCCTGCTCTCTGCACACACACACCACCAGAGGTGAGCCCCTTCCCCTGGAGCTGCCCCAGCCAGCCTATGGGCCAGAGCTTCCCTCCACTCCCTGCTCTCTGCACACACACACGCAGAGGGGAGAGCTGGCCCCTTCCCCTGGAGCTGCCCTGGACAGTTCCAGGCAGAATGTGTGCTGGGAAGAGCACGGGCATGGAGATGGGCACCTGCCCCAGCCACAGGGACCCCACCAGTGACCTGGGCCTCGCCCCTCTCTGGGGCACAAAGGCAGGCAGCAGGCAGTGCGGGTGGGGCCCTGTGCCAGGTCTTCCCGGCTGCTGAGATGGGCACTGCACAGGTGGTCAGGCCATGAATCTTGCTGAAACTCTGGAGAGCAGCAGTCCTCCGAAATCCCCAGGCCCGGGCCGCCCCCCCCTGGCCTGCCCCTGGCCTGGGCCACCTACCCACGAACCAGCCGTCATCACACTGCTGCACGACGTCCACCCGGTCCCCCTCCTGCAGCTCCAGCTCATCCTCGTTCTGGGGCCGGTACTGGTACATCGCCCGGTACCTGCAATTGCTGGGACTTGCCACTGCCCAAGCCACCAAGGGCCACACCCTGAGCTTCCCCAGGCCCCTGCCTACCCCTCAAGCCCGGGCCCAGGCATGGGGCAGCCAGGCAGCTTGGCCTCCATGCTCTGCCTGGCTGCTCCTCTGAGCAGCTGAGCAGCTGGGGCTCCCAGTTCTCACGCATCATTTAGATACACAGCAGCCTCCTGAGGCTGGACACCCCCTGGGGAGCTGCAGCCAGGTGTGGGAGGCTGGCTTTCAGGCCCTGCAGTGGCGTGGCATGGAGGGGACAGGAACACCAGGGCAGTGCCTCTCCCCACCCTACCCGGAGGCTCTGCAAGTCCAAGCCTAACAGCAGAAGCTTCCTGAGGGAGGCAGACAGGGGTCCCAGTGCTCAGCCCAGCCTGCAGCAACCCACCCCTGCCCCAGCACGCTCCAGCAGTACTCACGGGGTCCAGTGGATCTGAGCAGTGTGGGGGGAGGAGGCTCCCAGGTCCGGGGAATGACTGGGGCCTCGAGGGTGGGACAGAGCTGGCCCAGGGGTACTGAGGCCCTGGGGGTGCACAGGAGGAGGGTTGGCACAGCCTCGTGCACAGGCTCCCCTCAGCCTCAAGTCCCCAAGGTGCAGGGGCCTGCTTGACTCTCACACTATGCAATGCTGGGAACTGGGGCCCAGGCGGGCAAGGTGCTGCGTTTCCAATGCCAGTGCGGACAGGGGGATGCCTGGGGAAGGCTCACAGGGGCCTGCCAAGTGAGCGGGAGGCCACAGCCGCAGGCGTGGCTCGCGGGTGAGCCCACATGAAGGATGGCGGCCACTTCTTTGGACATTGGCTACGATATGCTTCAAGCTCCCAGCTACTCGGTTCTGCTCTGCAGCGGAGTCATCATCCCCACTGTGCAGAGGGGGCCTGGGTCCCTGCCCCAAGTCACACACAGGTGGCCCGGCTGCCAGCACTTCCCGCCCAGAGGCAGATGCAAATCGTAACAGTTGGCACCGGGGGTCAGGAGGCCAGGGCTGGCTTTAGGGTCCCACCCTGAGGCTGGCTGTGCCACTCCTCCCTGGGACAATGTGAGGAAGTTGGGGTCCCCAAGGCCAGGTGGAGCAACAATGCCAGGTTCTGCCCAACTGACCCTGCTCTGGCCTGGGCTGTCCAGGAAGGGGTCCCAAGTGTGGGCAGTCCCAGGACGGGGGCGCTGCTTCCACCCGAGATAGGCCACTCACCTGTGTCTGGGGTCTGGGCTCCTGTGTGGGGAAGGAGAGGCCAGTGCGGCGGGGGGGGGTCCGGCCCCCCCAGTTGGCGGGGTCTGCTGAGCTGAGTGGTGCCGATGGGGAGCTGGGGTGACGGACCAGACGGGCAGCCGCGGTCAAGCGGGGAGACGCAGGGAGCTGGGGGCTGTCGTCGCAGACCCGAAGCCGGGGCTCACGGCACACCTGCACGTAGCTGGCAGGGAAGATGCCCTGGCGCCCGGTGCCTGAGATGCGCCCCTCGTACCAGTTCTCATTCACCTTGCGGGTCAGGCAGATGCGCTCACCCTGCGGGGAGGAAGGTGGGTGTGCAGGGCCTCCAGGTGCAGCGCCCTCACCTGGGCTGGCCTGGTCCAGCTCACACCTTCCACATGCGAAACCAGCTCAGGGGCAGCAGGTTGCCCACGGCCACACAGCTAGAAAGTGGCAGAGGTGGGAGCCAGAGCAGGCTGCCAGCAACCAGAAGTCTAAGCACATGGCCCGGGTATGGGTCTCGTCCTGCCTCTTTGGGAAGCCCACCTGGCATGCACACCCGACCTGGGGTTCACAGCACTCTCCCACCCATGGGGAAGCCGGTGGCTGCCTGGTTCGGCCTAGGCTGAGCTGTGTGGCCTTGGGCAGGCTGCTCTGCCTCTCGGAGCCTTGGCTCCTCGCATGTTAAGGGGGCAACCACACCATCACTGTGAGGGGCAAGTGAGACCAATGGCAGACCCGTGAGAAGTGCTGGATGGGCCCACCCGGCCTGCATGCGAGGCCCTGCTCAACTGCAGCATGGCCAGCGCCAGGGCAGGTGGGCACCCCCAGGCATGCATCCCACAGGCCACCTGGGGGCTGCCCCAGGGAGGGCAGTTTCAAGCATCTCCCTCCCTGCCCCCTGTGTTCCCCATCCAGTTGCCTTCTTCCCATCTCTGGGGCCAGCTCTCACAGGGGGCTGGGGGCGGGGGGCAGTTCAAAGCCTCTGCCCCAAGAATCAGGCCATGGAACACCAGTTCCCTGCTTTCTAGGGTGGCACTGCCAAACTTCCATCACAGTCAGCAGTAAAAAATAAGTTTTAATGACAGTCCACACAAATATACAACGCCTAGCGTTCCACAGGGGACCCTTTCCACACGCAACGTATGCAAATGTTTCCCTTCCCGTTTTTCTTTCTTGTTCTGCCAGAGGGCGCATCCACTTGCCCGACAAAGACGGAGAGAGAGAGGGAGAAGGAGAAAGTGTTCCCCAGTGGAGCACGGTCATGCCACCATCCCTTCTCCTCCATTGCTCCATCCTGTCAGGATTTGGAGCACGCATGCTCGTTGCTGGACGTGTTTGCAAAGTCAGCAGGCCAGCATTCAACCACAGGCAGCCCTGTGGGGTCCAGCTCCCTTAACCAGCAGGCCATGGAGCTGGCCCTGCAAGAGAATGTATCTATCCATTTTTAACTTAATTTTAGTCATTGTCATTCTTTTACTTTTATTTTTTTGAAGATGATCCGAGAGAGACATAGAGAGATAAGGAAAGTGAGAAAGCAAGCTGCCAGGTCCGTGACTCAAACTGTGGTCAGCCATGTGGCAGTCCGGCTGTCCCAACCGCCACACCACTGCTGGTCCCCTCTATCCATCCCTTTAACATGCTGGATTGGGACCAGCTCCATGGCACAACAGCAATGGACTCCTCAAGAGATGCTCGATCCCTTGGGACCAGTAGATGGCAGAATGATTATATCGCTGGACTTGCATGTAGTTGACCGTGGTTCAAGTCCCAGACCCAGCAGCTTAAAGTCTGCATGTGCATGCATGCCCAAGATCCCGAGAGGAGAATGGGAGAGAAGGGATTGTGGCATGGGGTCGCTTTCTGTCTCTCTGTCTCTTCAATGAACACACACGCCCTATAGCAAAAATCTATCTAAAAACAAAACAAAACAGAGATGCTATATCCCACATAGCGACCACAGTTCAAATTCCTGGCCGGGTCAGTCTGAGACTCTCCAGGCCCAGTGCAAATGCCCGGGATCCAACAGGCTAAAGGTCTAGAGGGAGGGGACGTGGCACGACCAGACACTGAGATGGGACTCTCCACCTCTCTTGCGTGCGCTCACATGCACACACCTGCACTCTATCATGACTTAGAAATAAATTAACTTTAAAAACTGATTTCAATCCTTGGAGCCTACCAGCTGGCAGCTAAGAATAAAACAAATAAACAAAAACCTCCCCGAGTTTCTAACAAACCTTTAAACCAGACTAAATCGAGGGGACCTATTCAAAGAGGTGGAAAGACAAACTGGGAACACCGGATGCAGCTGGGTGCACCTGTCTTTCTGGAGCCACGCGGACTGTACATGTTTGCCCCAGCTCCCCTCGCCAGGCCCCACCTTGCGGAAGGACAGCTCCACCTCCAGGTCCCCCTTAAAGGTGTACTGGGCCACGGCTTCTCCATACTCCACCACCTGGTAGGTCGGGGGTTTAATGGGCTTGGGCACCTCGTCTGCCGGCAGCACCTGCAGGAGGAAGGGTCATGAGAAAGGTGTCGCCTGGCCATCAACTGGGCACAGACCCGGGTGCAGCACCTGGGAGGGGGACCGACAGAGAAGGTGGTATGGATAAGACCTGACCCTGGGCAGAGAGAAGACTTAGGCACCGAACAGTGGACAGTGGGTGGGTGACCGAGGGGGAGCACAGGCAAAGGGGGAGGGGTGCAGTGCAGTCTAAGAAGGTTTCCTGGAGGAAGACTTTCAGTATGTCTGTGGAGTAGGGTACTGGAGTAGGGAATGGCACGTGCAAAGATGGAAGACAGTCCAATTACTACAAGTTGGTCCAAAAGAACAGAAGTGTTCCAAATAGCAAGATTACCTGATGACCCGCTTCCCAACTGAATTTAGCCTTTCACTACTGCTGAGAACCAAATGTCCCATAGCTCAAGCAACCTGGTTCTTCCTTCCCTTCTACCCTACCAAGTACCCAGTATCCCCAAGCTCTCTTTGCTTCACCCTGCACATAAAAATCAAGAAATTAGCTAAGTAGTCCACACTAAGATATAAATAACTAGTAGAGTATATACTGTATACACTTTGTGAAATTTTGGGATCAGAGATTATTCTGCAGGCAGGGGAGGCCTAATGATGCCTATCAAGTCAATTTCCTGAATTAAAAACCCAGCTCATTATTCAAACAGGAAATCACAAAAGAAACAAGAAAATGGTTTGAGCAGAATTAAAAAAAAAATAAGTGAAAATTTGTGGGATGCAGCTAAGGCAGCATTCAGAGTAAAATTTATAGCATTAAATGTTTATGTTGAAAAAAGTGTCATCTAAACTTTTCTCCTAAAAAACTAGAAAAAAAGAGCAAATTAAATCTAAAGTAAGCAAAAAGAAACAAATAAGAAATAAGCAAAAATCAATGAAATTGAAAACAAAAGCAGTAGAGAAACATCAAGAAAATCAAAAGCTGGTTCTTTGAAAAGATCAAGAAAATGTGTAAGTACTTAGAACAAGAGAAGACACAAATCACCTCTATCAGGAATGAAAGAGAAAAATACAGATTTTACTAACATTAAAAGAACAATGAAGAAATACTATGAACAATGTTTTTTCTTAAGAGGTTTTTGCCTTAGAGCACATGTGCTCACTGGAGAGGGAGAGTTGGAGACAGTGAGAGGGAAAGTGAGAAATCACACCCCGGGGAGTTGGCCACGTTGCAATCCCTTCTACTCCATTCCCCTCCTAGGATCTTGGGCGGGCACGCACACACAAGTGTCGAGCATGAATTTCAAGCCACCAGGTTCGGGACTTGAACTGTGGTCAGTCATGGGGGAGTACATCTGCTGGTCCCAATATTATGAATAACTTTATGCTAATAAATTAGATAACCATTCCTTAAAAGACACAAATATTGGCCCATCCAAGTGGCACAGGCAGTGGGCACTGCTACATAATACTCGAGCCACAGGGAAAGGCCCAGGGTTCAGATTCCGGGTCACCATGAACATGCCACGGTATACTACAGGTGCCTGTGATCCTAGCTGCTTGGAGAGCTGGGGAAGGACCATGGCATGGCAAGACACTGTCAGGAGTCTGTCTCTGTCAGTCATGAAAGAAAGAAAGAAGAGTTTCAAGAAAAGGAGACCAGCAGTTGGTGTAATGGCTATGTCGCTGGATTCCCATGTAGTCGACCATGGTTTGAATCCCAGACCCAGCAACTTAAACTCATGCTGGGTGAGTATACATGCGTGCCCAAGATCCCAAGAGGAGCATGGAGGAGAAGGGATTGCGGCATGGCCATCCTCCCTGGGGGGTGATTTCTCGCTTTCTGTCTCTCTGTCTCTCTCTGTCTTTCTGGCAAGCGCACGCACCCTATAGCAAAAACCTCTCCAAAAAAAAAAAAAAAAGTTTTAAAAAAAGGACACAAACATCAAGATACCCACAGTCCTATATGTACAAAGTCCAGAACCTATCTCTGGGACAGGGCCTAGGCTCAGAGTCTGGATCTACTTAATAAATGTCACTGAGACTTAGCAACCCCTGGGGCTGATCACTCCGAAGACAGCGAGAGGCACAGGGAAGCAGCGCTCCTGTGCAAGGCGATGAGTGTGCGTGCAAGCTGGCACACACGTTGCACTCCTGCCAGCTCGGGTTAAGGCTTCCCAGGGTCAGATGCTGAGTGTGAACGCCCAGGACGCTGATGGGACTGTTGCTTCTGGTCTTCCCCTGGGCTGAGCTCTGGGCCTCTCGAATGGGGGCCCAGGACACTTGGGAGACTCGGCCGGACAGTCCCCACCTTGGGAAACCCGTCTGTTCTCTGTACCTGCCGAGGCGGGCGTGCCAGAGGGCTCCCTCGGGCTCACCTCCACATAGTTTGCCGGGAAGATGCCCAGCCGGCCGTGGTGCTCGCCCTCCAGCCAGTTCTTATCCACCTCCTTGTGGATGTAGACAATGTCACCCTTCTGCAGCGTCAGCTCCCTGCAGGCCAAGTGGCCATGTCACACACGATGTCACACATGGCGGGCTGAGGCCCTCTGAGCCTCCTTCCCGCAGACCTGCTCAGCACCCCTGGGCCAGCAGCCCTGGCCAGCCTCCCTCGGTGCAGACACTGCCCAGGGCAGGGGAGGGCAGAGGGACTTACTTGGGGGACTGTGCCTGGAAGTCAAACTTGAGGCGGGCAGCCTTCCTCTGGCGGGAGGGGACAGAGCAGCGCTTAGCCAGGGAGCACAGCAGCCGCCAGGCCCTCCCTGCACCCGGCCCTGAACACACCGCTTACCTTCCTCTCCTCCTTCCTGGCCGGGCTGCCGCCTCGCTCCGCAGCACTAGGGTCTATGGAGAAGAACTACCTCAGCCGGGGCGCAGGGCTTCAGACGGCAGTGGCAAAGGGGCTCTGTGACCTCCCTGTCACCCTGGGCAGCAGCAGACCTGGCGCGGGTGCGTGGGGTGAAACAGCAGGCCCGGGTCCTTACCTCGGGTCGAGGACGGGTAGACAAAGTCCCGGCGGCCCAGGAAGGGGCTTCCTCCGTCTGCCATCCTGTGGGGGCTCAGGGCACGGGGTGAACCCAGGTAAGGTGCTCGCAGGGAGGCGGAGCTCCGGGCTGCAGCCGGGCTGCGCGGAGAGAGCGAGCCACCTGCCTGCGGCTGGAGGGGGCCCCCCCCGCCCCGCCATCCCGGCCTCTTCCTCCCAAGGCGTCTCCCAGGTCCCGGGCTCAACAGGATGTGCGACTGCCCCCGCAGCCGGGCCGGGAAGGGGTGAGGCCTGGGGCTGGGAGAGGCCGGGGCA